GTACACACCCAGGAATTAATCTTGCAGTGCATCTTTTGAATTTGCGTCTTTGGGGAATGTAACCGGAGCAATAAGATCGTGATGATAATAAGGTTTTATCTGCACGTAAAGAGAAACCGTGTCCACACATCCTCTCGTCCTGCACTCTGTCAGCTCGGCTCTGTCTTCTGTCTTGGCCAATGCGATAAAAGTAAAATAAAGTTGTCAACCTTGTGCCCAATGTCTGTATTGCTGGTGGTCCTGATATACTTTAAGGACCACCAACAATACAGTACTTACATTATAACACGTATGTCCTTTTTATGCAGCTCTTATTTTTATATCTCTGGGCGTTTTAGGCCATTCATTCATTACATTTTCTGAATTTATTCCTCCTGCTAAAAGCACAATTTTGTCTCATTTATAGTATTTAAACTGCGTACACTGTTTGAGAGGAAATCAAAACAATTAGGCGGCCTGTAACTCAGCTTATATTCATTCATTAGGTCTTATTTATAAAGTATTTAACTTGTTTTCAGTAACACATTCATAAAACAAAGTTGATTTATTAAACGTATAAATATCTCTTTAAATGGCTGCTTTACCCGTTTATAAAAATATAACATGATTCATAAAACATAAAGTTAAAATGCTCAGTGTATTTATGCGTGTTGTGATCCCCTCACTGTGAACTGGGTCACCATGGTTTGTTGTTTTTTAAAAAGGTTGGGAAATACTGTATTAGACAATGTTGCAAATCCATGTGCAGGACTATTTTACAGCAACATATTAATGTTTATATGATTTTTACATCAATATTATAACATAAAGCCGTAATTAGTAAGGAATCTGATTTTCTGGATTAAATTTACAGCCAAATTAGACATTTCTCTGTTTATTTCATCCATGAACAATTAAAAAAAATATGTTTTACCATCACAATATAACGTTATATTAGTATTTCAATATCAACTATTAGGTGGTATAGAGATATGTATCCTTATCAACTTTAATTTACCGGCGATATAGCTAATATTATTAACAATGAATGTATGAAAAACAATATTAAACATGTTTAGCAGCACAAACTACAGCAAACATATGGATATAACGTTACATAATGACTAATGGGCACATTAAGTTAAGTTACTTATCAAAGGTGAAGATTTATGCGAGCCAGGTATGGCATATATATAAAGTTATATATTAATTTTGTTAAATTAAAGTTGTGTTTTTTATTTACAATAACAAGACAAGCTCAATAACATATTTCCTACACTTCTGTGAGTGGAAAAACTAACTCCTGATATTAGCTCTAAACCTTATAAAGTTATATACCGTAAAAGCTGTAAACCTCACCTTAACAAGCCGGCACTAACTGAGATTTAACGCTACAGTTAGTTAAACTAAGGTGTCTATATTTGAAGTTCAGCTAACGTTACATGGCTGAGAGCGGCGCTAGTGAGCAGACTGCCGTTCACTACCTGTGAAGCCTGTTTTTGTTCCCTTTTCTCGCTTTCAGTCAGCTAATTAACTTAATATCTGCGACGTCTCCTGTCAGCTTTTAATGGCGGTCGGCCAACCTGCCGGTGGTTAAGCGCTAATGAGCGACAGCCGTTAGGAAGCTTACCGTTGGGACGTTGACGTTCACTGCGTCAACGTCAACTCGCACCGCCGACAGCGGCAGCGGGTCAGCCTTGATCATGATGTTGCTGTAGGAACCGACTATTTCCACATCAGAGTCGTCTTTATCGCTGTCGGAGCTGAGGGTGATCACATCCATTTCCCCCGCACTCACTCAACCTCATACGAGACAGAAACTTCAGCCGCTAACGTCAAAATAAAAATGCAAAGCAGTTCGCTAAAGCGTCACCCGAAGCAGACCCATGCTACTCGCCACAGTCCTGCAGAAGAAGGAGCTAACGTTAATGTGTCGTCCCCCATCGTGTTGTGTAGAAAAGACCAGATAACTGCCCTCGTAAGACATGTAACCTTACGACCTGTGGCATTTCCCTGTTAAGCGTTTACATGCGCCTGATGTTGCTGCCCGGCGGGTTTGAATTGGATTGTATCTTCATAATTCACGGGACGCCGAAAGTTGACTAACTTAACTAAGTGAAAACCGTGGAAACTAAACTACATCCAAAATATCAAATCCAGTAACATGACGTCCATATGGTTGGTTCAACTGTGTCACTGACACATCTGAAATGTTGACGCTTCCTGGTTTTTGTTGTCATGTTTCTTCTGTAGTAAGGCGGATGACAACTCACCGTGCAAGTTGTGAATATCTCCACCTGCTGTACTGGAGTCTGCATGTTACTGTCAGTGAGTCTAAGCCTACAGTTTATACACGGTTTTATCATCATGAACAGCAACTAATAAACAAGGATTCCACGCTTTGTTTGTTTTTTGGTGGAATAAAGGTCAGCAGCATAACATCAGTTTGTTTATTTCCCCTCATCAAACACAATATTAATCTAACTTATAGTTTCAGTCTATATTTTTACCCCTGGTCATCCACACACCCTTGCTGTGGCTCCATATGCAACAGCACTGAGAACCACTGCATTAAAATAAGAGCCATGCCTC